TTCTTGGTCTTGCGGGACTCGGAGTTGTTTGTACCTAGGGACGGGAGAGAGGGAAGAAATGGGGGTGTCAGGGAGGAGATGAGCCCCAGAACAGAGTGGATGATGCCCAACTCTGGTCAACACCCAAGAAAATGTACCCCAGAATGTTCCTGCCCCTCCCAAGTGGGGAACAAGGTGCTCCAGGCTTTGGAGCCATGGTCTGTTCAACCCCTCTTGTACTGAGGACATGCCAGAACAGCCAGTTTTGCTCCCACAGAGGTATCTGTGCCTCCGGATTTGCCCCTCGGAGGGGTCTGTGCCACCCGTGTGCCCCCAGCCCCTGAGCACTCACTAGCTTTGGAGGAGGCCGAGTCGGAGGGGGAGATGTCGGAGGAGCCGTCCCACTGCAGGCGGCTCATGAGGGCCTGGCTCTCGGCCACCTCGAAGCTGTCGTTCTCCACACCAGCCTCAGCCTCGGGCAGGGACCTGGGCACGGGTGTTACAGAGGGTGGGTGGGGACAGAGCCCCCCAAACGCCAAGGGGATGCCCAGGGGCTCGGCCCAGCCCCACCACCCTGCCGGGCTGCAAATCCCAGCCCCAGCCCGGGGCTCCCATCCCCTGCAGGCCTCCCCAGGGCCATCCCTGTCCAAACCCCACCTGAGCACCCCATGCAGCCCCCCCAGTCCGACCCCGGGACCCCGACCTGCACCCACTTACGCCGAGGGCCCAAGGAGGTAAACCCGGACTGCCCTGCGCTGCTCATCCGTGTGCTGGGGACACCGCAGGGACCTGGGGGTGACACACGGCACTGAGGCGTGCCTTCCCCCCTCCCATGAGGATGGGGGCATGTGGGGACCCTGGGGAAGCCCCCCAGAGCAAGCTGCCCTCACCTGGTGCACATCTTCTTGGTGTGTTCCGAGATGACCCCGCATTGCTGGGCAGGGAAGGGCCAGGTGAGTTTGGGGGGACAGGCGAGTGACCCCTGGGCTGTGCTGCACCATCACAGCCCTGGGGCCCCCCAGTCTCCCAGTGCTGTGTCCCAGACAAAGCAGCCACTGCCCCGCATCGGGACCTGCTGCAGGTCCCCATTCCCAGCCGGGAAAGCAGCCCCAGCGGGGAGAGACCCCCGGGTCCCGCCCGCCGTGCTGCCGCAGCCCCCAGCCCCGCACCGTGGTGAGCAGCGTCCGCAGCTCCTCGGGGCCCAGCGTCTCGTAGTTGATGCCAGCCGAGTTGCTGTACTGGGGGGCAGGGAGCAGGCTCAGGGCTGGGGGGACCCTCCCGGGGGGCAATGCAGCCCCTGGGGAGGAGAGCACTGGCAGCCATCTCCCCCAGCCCCAGCTCACCTTGAAGGGATCGGGGTTCCCGCCGATCTCGCCTGGGAGGGAGGAAAGGTGAGGGGGGGTCCTGCCCGGGACCCCCAGGGCCCCCTCCCACTGCCACCAGCCCAGCCTCCCCACCCCAAATAC